TCTCTCTCTCTCTCTCTCTCTCTCTCTCTCTCTCTCTCTCTCTCTCCCTCCCTTCCTTCCTTCCTTCCTTCCTTTCTTTCTTTTTTTGGGTTTTTCAAGGTAGGGTTTCTCTGTGTAGCTTTGTGCCTTTCCTGGATCTTGCTCTGTAGACCAGCCTGGCGGTGGTGGCACACACCTTTAATCCCAGCACTTGGAAGGCAGAGGCAGGTGGATGTTTGTGAGTTCAAGGCCAGCCTGGTCTACTCCGTCTTTCTAAATGCACAAGCAGAAAATACAGTATACATCCTGAAAGTCATTTTTTTTTCATGAAGCCATTGAATATCTACTTTATTGTCTTTGAAGATATTGCTTGTTTTGACATTATCTCCTTCCAAATTTTATTCTAGCTATCTCTCCCTTCTGCTTTCTAGGAGCATTGCACACATATGTGTACACACACACATACACGCACACACACACACACACACACACACACATATATCAAGTGTAAAAATGATACATTTTACTTTCTCATTTCCCCAGTAAAATATAGTTTAGTTTCTTTTTTTCCCTTTTATTGAAAATAGATTCATTTTTCTCACATAATATATTCTGACTCGAGTTTCCCCTGTTCCTACTCTTCCCAGCTCCTCCTTTTGCCCCTCCTATTTGGATCCACTCCCTTTCTGTCTCTCATTAGAAAACAAACAGGCTTTTAAGATATAATAACGTAATATACTAATATGCATGGTATAGAACAAAAACTAACACAGCAGAGCTAGACAAAACAAATAATCAGAAGGAAAGAGCCCAAGAGAAGACACAAGAATCAGAGGCCCCCTAGTTAGCACACTCAGGAGTCCCATAAAACACTAAACTGGAAGCTCTAATATATAAACAGGGGACCTGGTGCACACACATGTGGGCCCTGTGCATGCTGCTTCAGTCTCTGTGAGTTCATATGACCTTCGATATGTTGATTTAGAAGGCCTTGTTTTCTTGCTCTCCTCGATACCCCATGGTTCTTACACTCTTTCTACTTCCTTTTCCAGATGGTTCCCTAAGCTCTGAAGGGAGGGAATTGTTGGAGATATCCCACTTAGGGCTGAATGTTCCAAGGTCTCTTGCTCTCTACTGTGAGTCTCTATACTTGTTCCCATCTGCTGAAGGAGGAAGCTTCTCCAATGGTTGCTGAGCAAAGCACTGATCTGTGAATATAGCAGAATAGAATGTCATTAAAAGGCATTTTATTGCTGTTTTTTTAGAACACTATTATTTGGTTTTACCCTATTTAGTCTCAGGTTCTTAGTTACCCAAGCATTGTCAGGTATTGGTTACATCTCATGGAGTGGGACTTAAGTCAAATCAGATATTGGATGTTTACTTCCACAAGCTTTGTGCCACCATGGCCTTAGCATTTCATGCAGGCAAGACAGCACTATAGATCAAAAGGATTGTGTCTGGGTTTGTGTTTAAATCTCTTTTGCTAGCATGCAGAGTACCTTCCTATACCAAAGACATTAGAACATAGGGGCGAAACCTCTATGAAGGCACCAGCTCAACTTCTCCATGTTCAATGAGCTGTGCAAGTGTTGTCTTCAGCAATGGGACCTTGCCATCAGTTTGTCGAGAGCAGTGTGTAGTCTTGATAAGAGCCTGGGTTGTTTGGGGATTCCCTTGGGAACCCTTTGTCTAACCACCAAATTAGATGTAACCATATCCTGGTATTGAAAGCGTCATTTGGTGACAAATGATGACCAGTTGGGCCTCTGTCTTCCCCACTATTTGGCAATTTCATTTAGATAAACTTCATATATGTATATTTTATGAAGTTTCTGCTGTGTTAGTTTCCCATACTACTCCTCAAATGCCCTTTAATTTTAACTATCTCTCCCTATATTCCCTCCCTCATCCCTCTTTCTCCTCCCCTTCTCCTCTCGATCCTCCCATTCCATCCCCCATCCATCCAAAGCTATCTATTCTATTTCCCTTTCCTAAGGAGATCTATTTGCCTACTCACCCCCCCCCAGTCCCTTACTCTACACCTAACCTCTGTGGTTCTATGAGCTGTAGCTTAGTTATCATTTAATTAACAGCTAATATGCACATATAATTCCTATCTTTCTGAGTCTGGGATACCTTACTCTAGTCCAATCCATTTACCTGTGACGTTCATGAGGTCATATTTTTTTAACAGCTGAGTAATACTCCATCGTGTAAATGTAATACATTTTCTTTATTCATTCTTCGGTTGAGAGTCATCTGGGTTTTTTCCAGTTTCTGGAAATGAATATAGTTGAGCAAGTGCCTCGGTGGTAGGTTGAAGTTTTTGGGGTATATGCCCAAAAGTGATATAGCTAGATCTTTAGTTAGATGGATTTCCATCTTCCTAAGAAACTGCCAAACTGATTTCCATAGTGGCTGGACAAGCAGCATCCACCAGCAATGGATGAGTATTCCTCTTATTCCACATCCTCTCTGGCATGAGCTGTCCTTCTTTCATTGATTTTAGGCATTCTGACAGGCAAATACAATCTCACCGTCATTTTGACTGCATGTCCCTGAAGGTTTAGGATGTTGAACATTTAAGTGTTTCTTGGCCATTTGAGTGTCCTCTTTTGAAAATTCTTGGTGTAGATATGTACCCCATTTTTAAATTGGGTTCTTTCTTGATATCTAGTTTTTTTTAGTGCTTTATGTTTTTGCATATTAGGCCCCCATCAAATGTGTAGTTGGTAAAAGTCTTTTCTCACTCTGTAAGCTGTCACTTTGTTTGAATAATGGTGTCTTTTGCCATGCAGAAGCTTTTCAGTCTCATGAGGTCCAATTTATTAATTGTTGCTCCTAGTGCCTGTGTAATGGTGTTCTATTCAGAAAGTCTTTTCCTGGACCTATGAGTTCAAGACTAGTCCTCACTTTATCTTCTCTCAGGTTCAGTGTATCTGGTTTTATTTTGGGGTCTTTGATCCACTGGGAGGTGAGTTTTGTGCGTGGTGATAAGTATGGATCAATTTGGATTCTCTACTTGCAGCTATGTGATTTGACCAGCACCATTTGTTGAAGAAGCTGCCTTTTTTACAGTGTATATTTCTGGCATCGTTATAAAAAAAATCAAGTGTCCATAATGACTGGATTAATGTCCAGGTCTTCAATTTGATCCCATTGATCAACATGTCTGTTTTTGTGCCAACACCATATTGTTTTAAAATAGTATAGTTCTGTGGTACAATCTGAATCAGGGATAGTGTTAGCTCCAGCATTTCTTTTATTATTCTGGATTGTTTTGAGCTATCCTTAATTTTGGGGGTTTGTTTTGTTTTGTTTGTTCTGTCTTTGTTGTGTGTGTGTGTGTGTGTGAGAGAGAGAGAGAGAGAGAGAGAGAGAGAGAGAGAGAGTTTCCATATGAAGCTGAAAATTGATCTTTCAAGATGTGTGAAAATTTGTGTTAGAATTAAGACAGTGTAGACGAAATTCTAAATGGTCTTATTAGCTAAGAAACACAGAGCCAAATACAGAGTTAAAGCCTAAGAGATCAGAGCAAGAGCCAAGACCCCCTTTAGCTTACCACTCGCTGTCATCATTCCCCTGAGAGAGAGCTTCTTCCTGTGTGTCTTGAGTTTTATTGCTTTCCTATTCTGCCACATGAATTTCATTGACTCTAAGCCCAGTCAAGTGACTTTCTCATCACTGTCTGTCTATACAGACCTCTTGTTCTATATGGTTGGTACTGGGATTAAAGACTCAAAGGACACAATGCTTGGCTGTGTCCTTGACCACACAGAGACTCTGACTGCTGTCCCTGGTTTGTGATGACCTGTGATCTCCAGGCAAACTTTATTTATAACATACAAATAAAAATAACATTTTTGCACAAGTAAAATATAACCACAAGATGGGGATTGTATAAACACAGTAGAGTACCAGAGTGCCCATTTCTAAAAAAAAAGAGTGTTTTAATTGTAAGGTAAGCTAGGGTTCCATTCCCCTTCCTAAATGGAGTTAAATCCCATTAAGTTTGAAGTTATAGCTGCAAGAGTTAGTTTGTGGTAAGGACAACCATTCTTGTGCTCCTCTTGCCATACACAGTGCAAATAACACTCGAGTCTGTTCTCAGCAAGTACAGTGTATTGGACTGAAGAGAATCTCCTGTTTTAGTCAGTTTCCAATGCTGAGTTGAACTAGATATGGCCTATGTGTAGGAAGCACAGTTCTTTTGTTGTGAGCCAGCTCACTGTTCTGGCTCTATAGGAAACACACTAGAGTACCAAAGTGCCACATTCTCAAAATCAGAGTGTTTTTCTTGTAAGCCAAGCTAGGGTTCATTTCCCCTTCCTAAACAGAGTTGAATCCCATTCAGTTTGAACTTCCAGCAGCAAGAGTTAGTTTAGAATAAGGACAGCCACTCTTGTGCTCCCCTTGCCATACACAGTGCAAACAGCACTCGCATCTGTTCCCAGCAAGTACAGTATATTGAACTGTAGCGGAGATCCTGTTTTAGTCAGTTTCCTACGCTGAGTTGAACTGAATATGGCCAGTGTTTGTAGGAAGCACAGTTTTTTATTCTGAGCCAGCTCACTGTTCTGGCCATACGGAAAACACAGTAGAGTACCAGAGTGCCCGTTTCTCAAAAGCAGAATGTTTTTCTTGTAAGGCAAGCTGAGATTCCATTTCCCTTCCTAAATGGAGTTGAATAGCATTCAGTTTGAAGTTCTAGCTGCAAAAGTTAGTTTGGGGAAGGACAAACACTCTTGTGTTCCTCTTGCCATACACAGTGCAAATAGCACTCACGTCTGTTCCCAGAAAGTACAGTGTATTGGACTGAAGAGGAGCTCCTGTTTTAGTCAGTTTCTTATGCTGAGTTGAACTGGATATGGGCTGTGTGTGTAGAAAGCACAGTTTTTGTTCTGAGCAAGCTCACTGTTCTGGCCCTATAGGAAACACAGTAGAGGACTAGAGTGACTGTTTCTCAAAAGCAGAGTGTTTTTCTTGTAAGCCAAGCTAGGGTTCAATTCCCCTTCATATAAAGAGTTGAAACCCATTCAATTACAACTTCTATCAGCAAGAGTTAGTTTAGGGTAAGGAAAACGGCTCTTGTGTTCCCCTTGCCATACATAGTGCAAATAGCACTCGGGTCTGTTCCCAGCAAATACAGTGTATTGGAAAGAAGAGGAGCTCCTGTTTCAGTCAGTTTCCTATGCTCAGTTGAACTGGATATGGCCCGTGTGTAG